TATGCACTGTGTGCTTCAGGAATTTTATACTGTGCACACTGACCACATAGACCCATTCTTTCATGTGTAGGCCTACCAGCTTTCTCTTGCTAGATTTGAAGGCGCTAGAATTTATGCGTACTAGTACGGCACCAAACCTGGCGTGCAAGCCGTACTAGTACATGTACTGCACCAACCCTGAAAGAATTAAACCATATACACATTCAAAGTTTTGCTTTTCCCATCATGCACTGCATGGAGCAGTATTTTTTTTTTATACTGTACACACTGTGCTGACCCACTCTTTTATATCTATGCCAGAATTTATCATTCACACTTTATCTGAGTGAACCAAGCTTACGACGTAGAACTGCATGAGGGACCATGACCTCAACAGCATAGTTCTACGTGACGGCCACTGAAAGGGTTAACTTCGGATTTGCTGGCTAGTTCAAACTGCTATGCTTAGAAAGTTGTATCAAGAAGCAAGACTTCTTTTGTGCTGCATTAAGATGCCTCATGAATGAATAACAAAGTACTGTAGCTTCTAGTATGGTATGTTTATTAAAACAAGAAATACAGTGGACTCCCGGTATTCGATGGCATCGATATACGTTAAATCCGGTACTTAATACATTTTAATGCAAAAATTTTGCCTCGCCACTCGTTAAAAAACCCGCCAGATGCGATTTGTCTGGGACGCGTCCACGTGAGTGCCAGTGTTTACAAGCCAGCCAGTGTGCTCGCATCTAAGCATACATTCGGTACATTCCATATTATCACTGTTTTTGGTGCTTGTTTCTGCAAAATAAGTCACCATGGGCCCCAAGAAAGCTTCTAGTGCCAACCCTGTGGTAAAAAGGGTGAGAATTAGTATGGAAATTAAGAAAGATTTTGAAGGGTTTGGGGCTAACCCCGAGAAGCCTATGCCAGTTGTGGAATCCATTGTGCCTACTTCAAAAATTAAGGAAATGTGTGCAAAGTGGGTTGAACTGCAAACCTTTATGGATGAAAATCGCCCTAACACAGCTATTGCAAGCCATGCTGGTGACTATTATAATGACAATGTTGTTGCCCATTTTAGACCAATCTTAAAGGAACGGGAGGTACAGAGCTCTATGGACAGATTTGTTGTGCGACAGAGGTCCAGTGACTCTCAAGCTGGTCCTAGTGGCATTAAAAGAAGGGAAGTAACCCCGGAAAAGGACTTGCTACCTCAAGTCCTAATGGAAGGGGATTCCCCTTCTAAACATTAACAACTTTGACACACTCCCCTCCTCCCATCCCATCAATCATCACCAATCTTCATTAAAGGTAAGTGTCATGTATTCTATTGTTAGTAGAGTACTACAAACCGTGCATGTCTTCTTCAGTTTGTGTGCATTAAACTTAACATTTCATGTGGTAAATTTTTTGTTTTCATACTTTTGGGCGACTTGCACGGATTAATTTGATTTCCATTATTTCTTATGGGGAAAATTAATTCGCCTTCCGATAATTCTGGCATACGATGAGCTCTCAGGAACAGATTAATATCAAATACCCGGGGTCCACTGTACTGCTATTTCAGTATTTAAATTTTTTTGGTTATATTCAGTATCTCAGTGTTGCAATTACTGAAATGTTGTACTGTGCAGTACTTCATATTTGGTGCACACATATTGAGGTTGCATATTATTATTACACTTATAGGGGGAATACTAAGGGTCAAAAAAAGCCTAGAAAATGGGAGGTACTTGGGTTTGATCCAAAGAAATAAAGGATTAGTCGAATTTTGGATACAGAGATACCAGCATCAAGGTGGCACCTCTGATGGGTTGAGGTTGTGTGGCATCAATGAGTAAGGGGGAAGTGAAATTGAATGAACTAAAGGAGACAGGAAAAGATTTAGGCAGCTATTGGGAGAAATGAGGGCTAGAGAGAGAGTATAGGTAAAGAGGTGATCAAAGAGGTATGGGAGAGATTTAAAAAAATAGTGCTAGTGCACAGCAGAATTTTGTTGATTTTGGAGGGTAGTTTTGAGTGTGAGGAGGACTGGTGGAATGACATGATAAAAGAAGTGGTAACAGAGATAAAGTTAGCATATGAGAGGTTCTTACACTGTAGAGATATTTGTAAGGCAGAGTACAGGGAGAGAAAATGAGAGGTTAAAGAGTGATGATGGAATGCCAAAGGGGAGCCAGTGAAAGAATGGGTGAGTGGCAGCAAATTTTGTTATCAGTATACCTGGAGAGGGTTTTGGGGATCAGCAGCCTGGTCTGAGACCAGGCCATGGAGGAAGATTAACAGGTTGAGGTAACCTGGGCAGCGAATGGAATTGGCAGTTAAAAATGAAAGAGAAAACATATTAGATGGAGAGAAAACTTTGAGTTGTTAAATGTTGAAAGATGAAAGGGAGGCAGTGATTTCATACATTGGGCAGGGAGAAATACCATCTTATAGGAGTAAGAAAAAGCCAGAGTTTTTTATGGGAAAACTGTGAGAAAGTGGTGGAATGAAAGTGGGTAAAGCAGTTGGGACTGATAAGGTTAAGACAGATGTTAAAAGCAGATGGGAATATAGTTTGGGTGTGGTTAGTGTATTTGTCTAATATATGAATGAAAGAAGAGAAGGGAATATGGGTTTGGCTATGAGAATGTATATATTTTCTTTGTATAAAGGAAAATGGGATGTGTTAAAATTATAGGAAAACAAGCTTATTCGGTATACTGGGTAGAGTTATATTGTAGAATTACTATTTAGGATTCAAGGAAACTGGTTAACTGGACCTGAATCCTGGAGGTTGATGTGCAGTGCCTGAACCCAGGCATGCCAATGTGTTAAAAATTAAATAACATAGGGTAGACTGGGGAACAATGTGGCAAATGTATGGAATAAGTAGGTTACTGAAAGCAGTTAAGAGTGGGGCTCAAGCTAGGCTATGTAGGAGAGAGGGGGAACTATTTTCCAGAAATATTAAGTTTCAGTCAGGGGTCTGTAATGTCACCCTGGTTGTTTAACATGTTTTTATGCTGTGCCTTTTCACATTACATTGCATTATGATTATTATTATTCACAAAAATCACAACACAGTTACAAACAAATCATGGAACAAGTGTGCCTTGAACCCATGGCAAATGAGTCCTAAATATTACAGGCCAGTGTGTTAACCACTCAACCAGCTGGTTCTTATAAGATTCATCCAACTAGGTATATTTTTGTACACCATAGGAAAGTTAGCATGGGCACCACTGTGACCACAAATGCAGGTTTTTTTTAGACAAATCCACACCAGCATGGCTGTGGTGTACTCTAGCTCAAGTCCCTTCAAAGCTGCCATCATGGTGGTATGTAATAGGAAATACTGCCAATTCAGGATAAACATATTTATTTTTGAGTTACAATGAAACTTCGGTTTTTGCACGCTCCAGTTATCGGATTTTTAGTTTTAGGGCCGTTTTTTTGTGCGAAATTTTGTTCGATGTCGGACCTTGATCCAGTAATCGGACAAATTATACTCGTCCGCCTGCCTGGGGACACCACCATTAGGCATCTCAGCCTGCCTCTGTCACTGGTCAAGTGAGCATTACTTCATGCATCCCAAAACATTTCATAATCCCATGTTTGTGGTGCTTGTTTATTAATTTTGACTGCAAAATAAGCCACCATGGGCCCAAGAAAGTTCCTAGTGCCAGCAAGCCCTTTGGTAAAGGGCTGAGAGAGAGGGGAGAATGCGTTCTTCAGTGATTCTACGATATGTATGATACTAAAGCAGCAGGAGTCGATAAAGGCTGTAGTGCCAGCCAGTGATAAAGAGTAGCATTAAAAGTGTAGCAAGTAAGTTTAGCGATTAAGCGATAGAAAAATGACACGAAACTGACTCCTCCATTGTTGTTTGAGGTATATAGGGTCTCTGACAACACCGCCACCGCCACCAACACTATGTACGGCTTATGCTGTCAGTGGCCCTTATAAACCCGACAACACCACCACTCCACATACGTAATGACATATTTTATTCATTCTAGAGTATACATGTATATCATGTTTCTATGTTATTAATATTGTTTATTATGTCATATTAGATCAGTTGTGATAGATAAATAAGCCATAGAGTTAATTAGTGTCATATTGAAGGAGTGTTTTGTCCTGCCTCCAAACAAACTCTCCGCCTCTGCCACCACTTGCCACATATGTAGTGACATATTTTATTCATTCTGGAGTGTATTTCAGGTTTCTGTGTTATTTTGTCATAGCTTAATTGTGATAGAGAAGCTGTAGAGTTGACATTAGTGTCATATTTAAAAAAATGAATTTTTTGTGAAAATTTTTGGGTGTCTGGAACGGATTAAATTTCTTATGGGAAATATTGATTGTATTCACACGTTTTGGTTTTAGAACAACCTTCTGGAACGTATTAAGTTTGAAAACCTGGGTTCCACTGTATGTTGTAGACCCAAGGCTGCTGTAATGTGACACCTCAAGAGAGGTTCCTTGATGCCAGTGAGGGGATCTTGATCTAAGCAGTTTTACCTGTGCTCCTCTTCCTTGGATCAGTCATGGCTGCTTCCCATTCCCCCATGCATTGTATGACCCTTGTGTGTTTAGTGCTCCTTACATTACTGTAATAATGCTCTGTGAAAAATGTATTTAAATATTGTCTCATTATATATCTTTTTAGTAAAGATTCCTTAGTGCTGATGGCCCCCTCAAGAGAGGTTCCTTGATGCTGGTGAGGGGCTCTTGCTCTAGGAAATTAGATCTGTGCTCCAGTTCTCTGAATTAAGCCTGAATGCCTTCCACCCCTGCCCCCTACAGGTGCTGTATGATTCCTATGGGTTTGGTGCTCCCCATGATAATTAGTCCTGATGAAAGGTTCTTAATCCAAGGAATTGAAGCTACCCTTTCCTATCTCCCATTCCCCAAATGTATAACCCCTACAGCTTTAGCTCTTCCTCATGAATATAATAATTCTGCATTATATATTTTGTCCAACAATATATGTACATATACTATGTTGTTGACCATATATATATTTTCAGGGGAGGAGTGATGACCCCAGGAGTGGCCTTCGCCAACACCAAGCTCATTGACCGCATAGTTGAACGTGGAATGACTGTCTCAGTGGTGAAGGAGTAAGCAAGTATTGGATAAAAATAATGTTCATGTATAAAAATTTTGTGTAATTATCTGATTAATGCATATGGAAGTTTGTACTAAATTATAAATTGAGCAGTGATTTTCTTGATATATGTACAATACAGTAAATTAGAAAGTCAAATTACATACTACAGTGGTCCTTCAACCTGCATCATCTTTAGTGCAGGCACTGTGCTTCCTGCTTCCAGGACTCAGGTTCAGCTGACTGGTTTCCCTCAATCTATTCATGCATGCTACCTTGCTCTCTTACTGACTCGTGTCAAGTTATAAAAACTACTTGGCTCCGCTTTGATCTAAAGTCCTTTCAAAAACTTGATGGATGTTAAAGCCCTTAGCACTCAAAATCTCCTGTACCTCCCTCCCTCCAAAACTTTGGACTGAGAGTCCTGAAGGTAAGAAGAGCAGTGCCTGCACTCTGAAGGTGGTGGTGATGTCAGAGGGGTAATCTGTGATACCAGCACACTTCCAGAAAGACAGCAGTTGAGTGAATGCTGGTGAATGGTTTTCTTTGGGTCACCCTGCATTGGTAATGGTCATTGTGTTGTGTTTATAAATAAATAATGACACAAATTTTGATGATTGGGTGTTTGAATATGCTTGGGTTTAGTATGGACATAAAGAAAATTATTATTAATATGAATGAAAAGAACTTGAATGTTCTAGCAGTAAATGGAACAAAGCTAAAAGGGGGTGGGAGAATTTCAGTGACAGGAAGAAATTATTATAATCAAAACTATAAAGAGCTGAAGAAAAGGTGAAATTAAATGATCAGCTATGGCAAGAAAAAGAAGGGATATAAGTGTATAAATTAATTACCAGGATTATAAAATACGTAGGATTGGAGAAGTGGTTTAGTGTTTACGAACCTTGAGGGAAGAAGGAATGTAATGGGGAGAGATTTTGGGAAGTGTTAGAGAGTTTTATGGCAGCTAACTCAATTACATAGTTACTAGATGTAATGCATTATGTTTAAATTCCAGATGTATTTGTTTTAGACTTCATATATAGGGTAGGTATTACCAGTGATAGCATGTTATATTACATTATTTTGGGGGTAATGGAAACCCTCATAGGAATTATTTTGCAGTAGCTTTGGTGTTTTAGTATTGGGTTTGTTGTTAAATGAAGTTACATACTGTAGTGATTGTAGAATTTTTGGTTTTTACATCAGTTTTTGTTTCCCAACATTGTCAACATTCAAGGGAAATGCAGGAGACTATAACATGAAGGGAAAGGGTTCTGTGTTTGGGGACATCAGGACCCATGAATTATTCTTTAAACAGGCCAAATATGGCAGTTGTTCATAGTTCAGGGACTGGAGAGAAAAGCTGGTAGAGATTTTAACGACTCAAAATATGGTAGGTCATATTCACGAGATGCTGGACAGTATCACCCAGGTTATGTATTACATATTTAATTCACCCTTTTGGGTTAGTGCACAATTATTATAATTGAAGAAAGTGCTAAACTGACAAGGGTCATAAAGCGCTGCAGGGCAGAAAATAGTGCCGAGGCTATGAACAGCTAGGTGGAGAGAGGGGAGACACTGAGGGTTATGTTTCAAAGTTTATATAGTAAAGCAGTTGCCGACATAAGCCAAAGTAAATCAAAGGCAGGGCCATCTACAAGAAGGCAAGGGTGGCAGTGCCGTTGGAGGTTAATCCTGCAAGCTTGCTGGTAAACCGGGCAATCTACAAGAAAGTAAAGAACTGAAATAGGGACCCGACAAACCTCAGCGAGGCATAGGGTGTCGTTCCACGAGATATCCATGGGTAACACGAGTATGGTCTCCCAAGTACAGCAATGGTGGTAAGATGGCCAAAGTTAGTGAACAAACAATACAGGTATTTAAGCAGAGCTGAATTGTTCCTTGAGGATTTATTGTATGTATTTGTAAACATTGCATAGGTATGATTATTAGTCCAAAGAGTTGAACCCAGATGTCATGCAGTACAATATAGGTAGGAAATATTAATCAGTTAAAAGGGACTCTTGAGTAATGTAAGGCAATTTACACAACTTATTTAAAAATGTTTAACAAGTTTTATTTTACAGTATATTACAGGAGTCAAGTTTCATTCCAATACCTCAATAACAAAAAAATAAAACTCCAAAGAACACAAAAAGTAAAGTTTCAGCAAAATAACCTCAAGTATATAAAGATACTGTATTGAAAATATTTGATTCTGAACACAAATGCATTTACAATTTACTTCCAATTTTATATTTATGTACTTTGCAAGACAATTGGGAGGATACAAGGGAAAAAAAAAATGGAATATTTGATACTAACAAATTTAAGGTTAACTTCTATTTGACATCACCTAGTACCTTTGAGTCACCTTTTCAACTCTTGAGCAGGAGTAATCTTTCAAAGTATTTCCTAATCAAATTTAATATGTACAAAATTATAAATTGCAAATGTATTCATAATTACAATTTATTCCTAACAAGTCTAGAAAATATGAATATTAACTAGGTACAGTCAGCATTTTGTGCTTTAATTCGAGAGCCTTCTATTCATTAGCCTCTTTTTCAGTAGTTTAAAAAAACTGATTCGTGTTATATTACACATATAATCAGTAATGAGTACTACTTATTCCACACGAGATTTAGGAAGAGATCGATATGAGTGTTCCCATAAATTATTCAACCTTATACCCTGAGGTACAAGTGTAAAGATTTTATAAAGCAGAAATTTCTCAGACCGGCTAAGATACTGGGAAAAACTCTGTCACTACACAATTTAAATTCACAAACTCACTATTGGCTACATTTAAAGTGCTCCATTTTTTCTGTACGTATTTCCTTGTTGCACCATTTTAATCAAATTTACGTAAATAGAATACGCACACATGTCTGGTGTTATAATGTAGGTAATTCAGTGTAAAAATTAAAAGGGTATGTTCAAGGGTATAAATTAGAGCTAAGGCAGTACTGGTGAAGTAGTTTAGACACTTAAATTATAATCATAGCAACAACACTGCATGACCCTTGAGAGTTTAGTGCTCAGTTATGATTATAACCAACTAAGCACTATACCAGTCCTCGAAGTGCCCAGACCCATGGGGTTGCCCCAAGAGTGTTAGGGGGGGGGTTACAAGAAACTGAGCACCCAGCAGGCTTATGTGAACATATTAGATAAGAGTGAAAGTAGAAGTGGTTTTCACTGGATGTGCTGTTGGAGTGTGATCAAAGAAACTTGTGAAGGGATCTGAGGAAACTTAGTTTACTAGGTGCCTGCACTCTGAAAGAGGGATGGGGAATGTCGGCACACACTGGAAAGATAGCATGAGTGAATGTATTTCCTTCTTGGTTTCCCTTAATGCCTTCATAAAAGTAACTTTGATCACTCCAACAGCACATCCATTAAAAACCACTAGTCACCATTAGCTCCCCTCTAACATGCTCGTTCAAGCCTTTAAAAATCAAGTTTTGTTGTACCCCAGCTCTTCAGTTGTTCCTGGGATGGCCCCCAACCCTTCCTTCCATCCCAGCTTTATACAGTCATCTGCTCTATGCTCTAAATGTCCAAACCACCTCAGCAACCCCCTCCACACTAAATTTTACTCTTGGTATCCCCATGTCTATGCTTTTAATTCTCTGCATAATATTCAAACTGCACATTGCCCTCAAACATGGCATCTCCATTGCAACATTTTAATACCATGCTTCTTAGGAGGGAAGGGGGTGGTATTCAGGGTAATATTTAAAGGGAAGAAGAGTGTCAAGGTGGTGTGGACATGACAATAAGGTACAGGCAGGCCCTGCTCAACAGCAGTATTCAGTTATACCCACTCTTCATTTATTCAAACTTCCTACAATAATTCTTTATTCACCACTCACTATAAGCCAAGGACAAAAATATTTTATATGCATTTTTTAGGCCTATTCCTTACTTAATATATAATGGTGCAAACATAGTTATCAGGCTTTTATATGCATTTCAAAGTGAAAAAAAGGCTATGTTTCACTCTACAGCAGTAGCCTGTTGTACAAGTAGGGCCCTCCTGTGCATAAATCTAGAGTGGAAGGTAGGACAGGGATCAGCCCAGGGATGGTTCGGAGTGTGTGAAGGTTTTAAGCGAGACTCCAGCATGTTAGATTGGGGCAAGTAGTACCGAGATTTAAATTAGATGATGTGCTGTTGGAGTGCTGATAAGGAAACTAGAAGGGATTCAGGTGGTTAGTAGTGCCTGCACTCAAAAGGATGGGAAAATATGTTGCAGTTCAGAGGGCCTTTTGAATTGTGATATCTGTACATTTCTAGCAAGATAGTGATTGAATGAGTGGTAGCAAATATGATTTTGTATTTGTCACCTTACATTTTTGGGAGACAGCTGATGCAAAATATAAGAGTGAATGAAAGGACACAAGTGTACATTTAGGACTTCTTTACTGGATACACTTTGGTCCTCAGACCTTGATCACTCCAATATAAGAATGTTAAGCACTAAACCCAAAGGGGTCCCCAGGACCAAAACTTATCCAATAAAGATGTGCCAGGTATGCACTTGAGGCCTTTAAACCATGTCGTATACCTTCTACTTTATAATGTATATAAAAGAAAAAAAAAAACAGTCAGCTTGTAATTCATCAGATTTTCCAGTGACAAAACCATAGTAGTAACACTCCTTGTTTAGTATGGTCATTTACCATCACAAAAATTTAGTTAACTATAGCAGTAAGAAATCAGGATGTGTGATAAAATTGTGTTCTTTAAATGGACTGTACAGTATACAGTTATCAATGATGGGAACCCATGGCCTGAGATTACCAGCCTGTCACCAGAGCCACTGAACCACAGACAAAGGGATGGGCTGGTAATCCCCGAGTATGAATTTTCATTATTCCAATGAACTGCTACATTCATTCACTCCACACATGCACGTTATAAAAATGGAGACATTAGAAAACAACAAAACTTAAGTTTATATTAGCATATACCAATTAGTGTGAATAACAAATTTTTAATACATAAATATGACTTTTGTACTCTCACTACAATGTATTATGAGTGACAATACTTTGAGTGTTAACAGAAACAGGTGCAAATCAGACTGAACACACTTCTAAAAGGCAAAAAATAAATTTTATTAGATGGCTGTGTTCCCGAGCCATTTTTGTAAAAAATGCTACTTAGTCTAGCAATCTATTACACAAGTTAAACTGTCCACAGTAATCACTGTCTAAAACTATAATTTTTCATGAAGTTTATACATTTCTTAAAATTTAAAATGTGAAAGGCAATACCAACTTGAAACAAATTTTACATGGTTGAAATATCTTTGCACCTCAATCACTCCACATTTTTAAAGTGTTATGAGGTTTTTATGTTCACTAACAATGAAGCCAATTTATGATGCTAATGGGCTAAATAAAAGTTATTTTCCATGTAAGAAATTAACATTGTAACAAGTGTCCTTGGAAAAATAAACATTGTATTGTACCACAGTAGTTGTTTTCCTTACATTCATAGTAACCATATATATCCAGTATAGGAGATTAATATATAAAGTTTAATGAGGATTTGTATTGCCACTCTTAAGTTGTTTTACCACAGATTCAGGTATAAATGCATTTGACAGTTTCCTGCACTAAATAAAAAAAAAAAAAATAATAACAGTTAGTATGATGAAAATTTCAATATATTTTTCAATTCTAAAAGGGGTGTGATAATAACAACAGTGTGTGGGTTGTGGTATTTTATTAGAAAACATGCTGTCCAGCAGGAAACTGATGAAGTCCCTAGACAAATCTAATGAAATACCATAACTACATGATACTGTATTACCATTTTATACATTCTAAAAGGAGTATTACTCTAGTTGCCTCCTGATGAAAACCTATTACAAAAGTATGAACAAACAAAGTAAAAAAATATTCAGTCAGTTCAAGTATAGTACTTTGTATAAAAAACTACATTCAATAATTTTTACAATGAAAGTTAAATACTGAATGTATTTCTCTCCATGTGAAATCTGTAGAACACATACTGAATGTAATTTTCTTAATATGAAATCTACAGAACCATTGCTTACAACAGTAAGGTCCTTGCAGTATCATTACTAGTAGTATTCCTGATTTGAAATTAAGGAGAAAAAGATGGAAGATTCACATTTTCTAAAGATGTCAGTGGCAGGAATATACTGCACGAGATACATTCTCTTCCTACAAATACACAGAAAACCTGAGGCAAGTTAAGAACAGTCCTAGATGCAAAATTGAATTAAATTACTGTGTATGTCGTGCTTTTCAAGCCAAACTTGCCAACTCGACTTATTCAGCAATAATCATTTTGTCAAACAAGCAATTGCTTATATTTGTATAAAAACAAAACATGTAAAACAAGATTTTAGAGAATATTTTGCTTGGGGGTTGAGCTTATCAAGACACACACACACATACACACTTCATATATAGTAACGTATGTCAGGTCCATCTTGGAGTATGTAGCACAGTATGGAGCCCACACCCGAGGAAGAATGTTAAGAAACTGGGGAAAGGGCAGAAGTACACAACAAGGCTTGTTTCTGAGTTTAGGAGCATGAGCTATGAGGAGAGGCTAATGTAACTGAATTAGAAGATAAAAGAATCAGAGAAGATGTGATAACACATGAAATTCTCAGGGGAATTATTAAGGTAGACAGGGACAAGACGTTTGAGAGAGAAAAACTCGGGAGCACAGATAAGCCACAGGGATGTCAAGAAGTGTTTCTTCAGTCTCAGGGTGGCTGGAAAGTGGAATGATCTTAGTGAAGTGGAGGCAAGCTACATACATAGCTTTAAAAGCAAGTATGATGAGGCCCATGAGGCTAGGAGGGAATGAATCTGGCAAGTTGAGTGGCAGGGCCAGAAGCTAAGACTTAACCCCTGCAGCTAAATAGGATAAATACATATAGGTAAGTGCACCCACACTGTACACGTGTGTTTCCTGTTATATATATATATATATAATATATATATATATATATATATATATATATATATATATATATATATATATATATATATATATATTATATTGGCAGTTTGGAGGGATATGTTGTGTATCTTTATACGTATATGCTTCTAAACTGTTGTATTCTGAGCACCTCTGCAAAAACAGTGATAATGTGTGAGTGTGGTGAAAGTGTTGAATGATGATGAAAGTATTTTCTTTTTTGGGTCACCCTGCCTCGGTGGGAGACGGCCGACTTGTTGGAAAAAAAAAATATATATATATATATAAATGTCTCTCTTCAACTCCGAGTAATATCTTGTTCTAAATGTTTTTTCTTTTATACATGTGAACATGTCTGATAGAAATAACTGGAGGCAAGTGGTTTATTATGGACATATTGTTGAAGCATGAGCAAATAACTTTTATAAAGGGACTCGTGGGACGTGTTTAGCTAGACTTGCATCCTGATTGTGGGAAGGGCAATGCCTGCAATTTGAAGGAGTTGCAGTCAAAGGGTAATCTGAATTGTGATAATTGTACATTTCTGGCAAGAAAGTGACAATGAATGATAGTGAAATGTTTTTCCTTCATTGCGTCACCCTGCTTTAGTGCAGTGACCCAAAGAGAATAATGTCCCTGACAGCCATGGATGTTTAGTCTCAATAGGTTGAATACTAGACCAGAAAATTTCATTACATCACATAGCCTCACAAGTAGAGTTACAGCTTCACACCTTACGACCTGACATCAATATGCTTTAACAATTCTTACACTGGCTTGAGTTTAAATTGTTAAAATTCCCCTCCAGGCAAACTGAGGTTTAAATTTATGCAATGAGATTAAATTATACAAGTTTGTTATCATATATAAAAACTAATTTCAATTATCAAAATATAAATTGTAGCCATAGTTATGTACATGACAGAACACAGCACAGCTTTGTGTTATGCTATGAAAACATATCAGGTTTTCTGTGTAGATGAACATTAAAAGCCTCAATAAATGAGGAAATTAGTGCCTAACAAGATGAAGATTAAACAGTACTGTATTTGTATTTAGATTAAGTATTGTATTCAAGTAGAGAAGAAAGATTTTAAAGTTATGTGAATTTGAGAATATCAGAATCTAAGTCACAATGAAGACATAATATAAAAGTTTCATCGTAGCCAATGAACCATCTATTTCATTATAAAATATGTATTGCTAACAATTTTCTGTTGCTTTCTATCAGGATAACACTATAAAAAGGCTTATAAACCAACTACACATTAGCAAACATCAACCAATGACATTATGAAAGACTAGCCTTAACAACCAGTAATACAAAACTAATAATAATCATTATCACCCTTAATGACCCTATAAACAAGGTCACCACTAATAATTTACAGTATATGAGGGATAGGCAAAAATTTTTAGGGAACCTTATTGAGTATGGAACCAATTATTATAGTGTACCAACATCCAATGTTGGAGCCCAAAATGTTTTCAATAAATGAATGCCTTAAATGTTTAAATTAAATACATAATTACTAAAGCTCATTTTAGAAAAAGTGCACTGCTGTAAAATATGCATACTGTATATGTAATAAAAGCATATGAAAAAGCAAAGCCCATGCCTTTACTAGTTTGAAGGAATCAGGGCAGTTAGTGCTCACCATCACAGCTGATTATGTTGTGATAAACTGCTGAAACTTTCAAGTTTTATCAGTCAGCTGGCCAGCACTTTCATCCTTAGATATCTTCAGATATCAACAAATCTGCCATCTTAGGAAGACACACTGTCAATCTATTTGTCTTTAATATCTAGTATTTATCAACATAATCAATAAGACAATCTCTCATATTCATACTTACAGAACTTTGCTTATTGTAAGAAAATGTTGAAAATACTTCAATGTTAAATCCACATTGACCAAAAATTATACGGAAATCTTCATTTTAAAATATCTCGGCCAATGAAAAGATAAAATCATGTGATAACTGAATGTAACAATTTCATGACCAATAAATTAGCAGCTGACCTCTACATATTTATCCTTGATATCAATAATTCTGAATTTAAAAATAATCCTAAAACAAAATAATGTATACAATTCATTGTGTAACTACTATTTAGTAGTTACAGTTGATTTATGTCCTACTTTTTTAATTTTTATTCAAATCAGCCTGCATGGAGTTGCACACATTTCCATTTTTTGGTTGTATATAAATTTTATGACTAGGGGGGAAGTGGAGAAGAATCCTTCCTCCATAAGCCATGCATGTCATAAGAGGTGACTAAAATGCTGGGAGCAAGGGGATAGTAACCCCTTCTGTATAAATTACTAAATGTAAAAAGAAGTATTTCTTCTTTTTCGGGTCACCCTGTCATAGTGGGAGATGGCCCGTGTATTGAAAAAAAAATTAATGTGTATTAAATAGTATTTCCAGTAGCTCCTTATTATAAATAAATCAAAAACATTACTGGGAGAGAGGAGAACAAACTCCACTATTGATTGATACTGATGGTTTAAAGAAAACCTTCCTTTTATCATTGTTCTCCTTTTCCTTTCAAGGAGAATCTTCCATCCATTGTAGTGATGGGCCAGTTATAGAAGGTACTACTCTACTGAAATAGAAATGTGAAATAGAAGCCTGTAAATATTTTGCACTCTGGCTGGATTGTTGACTTTTGTTTAAGTTTCATCAGGTTTTTGCTACCAGCAGTCCACAAGCCTACATACCACTCACAACCTGGCTGATCAGGCCCTTAAAAGCAGGTAGCAAACCAGTTTCTTCTTGCAAACTTTTATCTTAGTTAGCAATATTTCTTATATGTATAGATAGAAGGCTGAAGAATTATGGATTAAGGATGCTAACACTGTTCTTTAATTGTGCCTATTGGAGCCCTTACTTTCCACTGGCTTTGTTCCACACTCCTTTTAGTATAATGGTACTGTATTTTGTAAGACGACTGTTTATTCTCAAGAGCACTAGTTATGATTTTGTGAAATTACCGATTTCTCTTAAATTGCAGCCCCTATATGACCTGGAGTTGCATAAAACTTTGACCAATATTATTGGCTCCATATCAACTGGTTGTTTTAAGATCATTTGTGGATAACTCTACTGAAATTTCTTCTATACATTTTCATTACACATTAGTTTCTTAATAAACAGTTTTGTTTTTTTAGTTTTTTAATCTCAAACTAGATTTTCACATATCCCAGCAGTTCCTGCTTAACAGAAAAATTGCTTTCAGACAAAATTTCAGCAAAGCAAATTTTTGCACTGCAAGTTATATTTTCCTGTAGGCTTTTATCAAATAACTTTTAATAATGTAAAAAAATATAATGTTCAACAACTTGGTAATTACACTTGCCAGATACTGACTGGAATTATTATATTTACAAAAAATGTGCCAAATACTGATCTGAAGCCTGCATTTGAAGGCTTTGCAGAAAAAATTGTGGCTAGGTGTTGGTGTAGAAGAAAATAACAGAATCCTCCTCCTGTATTACTAACATGC